TGCAAAGGTTGTTTCATCTCGCTGTCTGCTTAATTGCTCCAAATTATTTTTTTTACTGCCACTGCTCCCTGGTCTCTCGGATGTCTCCATTAAAAAACGGCAGTGCCACTGCAAATTAGAATCATTCAGATTAAAAGGCAAATGAGAAAAGAAAGCTGGCGCTGAACGCTTTTTTATGTAAATTAATTGTTGCCCGCGCGCGCGTTTATTCAATTTGGCCCGAGGAGTTAAAAAGACATTCAATGGTACAGATTAGGTCTCAAGGCGAGGAAAAAGTGATACGGTTAAAAGACAAGGTTTATCCTTCCTTTTAATGTTTAATTTAAGTTGAGGAAAAGAGGCAGAATTAAACTTTCACTTTAAAAAGCTGAAATCCCTAAGAACTTGAAAATTTTCAAGTATAGCTGTTGTGAATAAAAAATTATTTTTATTTCAGGGAAAAAAATGTAAAATATAATTCAAGATTTAAGAATCAAATTAAATGTTTGAAGAAAATTTAGCTTCAGTTTTGAATCAACCTTGATTTAGCATTTTTTTTTTTTATAAAATTCAGATTCCGCCTCTCCTCCCCATTTCAAATCTCGATACGACGCAGACGGTCTACAAGGCAGAAATTCTCAAGAGAGAGCAAATAATCGAGCCGACTGCTGGGAGATAAACGCGTTCGCTCATACATACAATTTGTACGACGAATATTTAAATAATAGAGAGCGAGGGATGCTGAACGATCGAGAGAGCAGGAATGAGCAGAGAATTGCTCGGAGCAAATACAAAAGTAATAATACGTGTGCGTTGCCATGCGCTATTTTATTATGATATTTGTGCTGGAATAATATTTTTCAGCGCAATGGGAAAGAAAAGAAAAAAACACACCGTGAGATATCATACAAAAGAGGAAACTTCTTTTCCTCAAGCCCCTTGAGCGGAATTGTTTAATAATTCGGGCAAATAATAGCTGAGGAATCATGCCGAGGCGAATGGATTTTTATTTGAATAAAGTTCCTCTGTTAAATTTTCCTGGGCATCAAATTAACTTGAAAAATAAATTCTAAATATAATTAAGAAGTTAAATTATTTGAAATTGTAACAATAAGAATTATTTGAATCCTAAAACATGATTAAATTTGAAAATATTTTCCTTCGAATTTGTTAAAGGATTTTAGAAATTTTATTTTATTTTGCAATGATTGTGCCAAAAAGAAGTGTTTTTGTTTGAAGAGGATGAGCTTTTGGCGAAGACAGCTATATAAGTTGGACAATAAAATTAGCTTTGGAGCTCAGTTGGGAATTCGTTGCGGCCGCCGATCCAAGTTCAAAAGAACATGTGAGCAACACATTGCCCGAGCGGCCATTAAAGTTATTTGTTTGAAAATCAATCATAAAACAAAAGCATTACAATTTCGTGCTCGTATCCTTTTATTCCACTTTACACACACGGCATTCCCATGCCGGACCGAGCAGAACGGATGGGCAGCATACTTTTTATGACAAAATACTCCTCGCTTTGTATCTTGTCCTGGCTCATTGTAAAAGAGTCGAAACCGCAGGATTTAACTGCTGCCGCGCTGCTTCTCGCACATAAAAATACATAAAAGAGCGCAACATGAATCTTTTATTACACGGACAGAGAGAGCTCCGGGATTTTTCTTTCTCAAAAGAACGGCGAGCATTAGTAGTGAGTTTTGTGTACTTAAATAAAAAGCAAAGGGAGAGAGATGCACCGCCGGAGATTAAAAAATAACACACAACCCTGCGTCACTCTCCCGCATTTGATATTATATAAGTTGCGTGCTGGTCATTTTCATCCCTCTAACTCCAACCGCGAGTAATAAGAGAATGAGAGAGAGAACCCGACAAGTAGAATGTTCATTAAAATCGGCTAGGATTCTCGCTGCGTTTATTTGCCGCTCCTTTTCATTTTCCGGGCTCACCGGATTTAATTCCCTTTCCCATCAGGAAAAACCCGGAGGATTAGCCTGGCTAGAATATTTTTCGTCAAGGTAGTAAAGAGAGGAGGTGAGAGTAAAGTAAATTTTGATGATGGGAGAACATAAAATTTTTGCTGATCAGAATAGATTTTCAGTTAAATTCATTAAAACTTCATTAGTACAATCCTCAGAATTTTGGCAAGTGCATAATCAAAGCACCTCGGGAAAAAGTTTCAGCTTTGTGATATCATTTTAGCGAGCAATCTTATAATTATTATTCTTATAATTGGCTTGAAGCATAGTTTATTTTTAAACAATGGAATTGCTGTTTTCCGTTTCCAAAATTCTAATTTTAAATTTTCGTGTAAAATTTGGGGAGTGCTTAACACTTTAAAAATTTTTAAAATAAAATAAAGAACACTAACTAAATATTAGACAAAATTTTAAAATGTTTATAATTGAAGTACTGATGATTTAAATTTTAAAATAATAGTAACTAAAATTGCATAGCTTCCATATTATAGCTATTTTGAGAATACTATAAAGATTCAAACGTTTCAGACATTTCGCTTATTTTTTAAAGACAAAAAGCAAAATTGGAAGGGCTTGATGGGAATAATGGTCTTTGTCACACAGTAGCGCGTGCAGCACACGTTGTGTATTTTTATCTGGCGTGTTGATGCTGGCGCTGACCGCGCATGAAAGAGAATATAAAAAGCGGAAAATGCATCTGGCGCACAAAAGTTGACGAGAGCAGAGTGAGCGAAACAGAAAAGCATCTCGGCTGCGCTGCCGCAAAACTCATTTCGCGGGGCGGGCAAACGGAATTGCAAATGAGTGGTGATGATTACAAACGGCGCGCGGGTAAATATTGAGCGAGAGAGCATTCACATTTGCAGCGGTTTCTCTCGTGTGTCTTTGTCAAAGAGAGGTGAGATCGAGTGGCGTTTTGTTTCGCCACCAGACTCTATACTTGTGCCGAGATGGAAAAAAGCAGTTGGTTTTGCCACGGAGGTAATTAGCCATTCCTTGTGATACGATGAGATATTTGTGCCGGCGAGAGAGAGTAAAAAAGATGAAACTCGCAGTGCTTACTCCTTTTTGTCCAATTCAAATAAACAGACACCCGGGCCGGGACAGAAAGGCGCGGCCAGAGAGCATTTATTGCTGTGTAAATAATTCCGAGAGCGCTCTGAATTTTTATTGCGCATCATCCCTCTCGCCTTGTACCTTTTCTTTTTAACAATTCAGACTTACATTTCCGGAGTTTACATCTTAAAAAACGCGAGAGCGCCAAAACAAATACCCGGGGGAGATTTTTATTTCGGACTCTCTATGCTGAATATAGTCCCAGGAAACAAAACAGCAGCTCTCGTTATTTAGCAAGAGAGAGAGACACATGGCCGCTGCTTTTACTCATTTCGTTTTACGCACTTCGGGAGGAAAATTAACTGGAGAGTGGTGCACTTGAAACACACATATACAGCGACTGCAGCTTTTATTTTTATTGCCAACAGAGAAAATCTCGGCTCATCTCGCCACAAATATTGTGCGCGGTTATTTTTGAAGGCAATCTCGAGGAAACGGCCGCCCTCTAAATTATATTTCGAGGTGATTCACTGCCGGCAGGAGAATTACGAGAGAGACACACACGGACGCTGATTACGCCCTCTAAATCTCCGGCGTCACCCCTGATCGTGTGAGGGACGTGCAAAAATAATATCCCTTGGAAATAAAATGCTTTAAAATTTATAGTAAATTACGATTTAAATTTGAATTTTACTTTGGGTTAAAGGGAACTAAAAATTGTAGATTATTATTAAAATTTATTCATCTTAGCATTTCCACTCGTATATCCCTTTCCAATCCTCCTTGGTTCTGCCCTCCCTATGCAATAGGGGTCGGTCGGTTTTGATGCAATATCTATAAAGGTGGTGCGAGGACAGACATAATTCACAAAACGACGCAATTACAACCCCTGCCTCGACAAAATAAACAGGGTGGCGGCTCAACTGCTGCACGCACCGAGATTCGCACCTCCCGCGTGTCCTTTCGCCTTTAGTCGGGAAATGAGAAAATTTCATCTCTCTCGTGTAATTGGTTTTTGTGCGAGAAATCGCGAGAGAGGAGTTTTGTGCTGCGTAACGCTTTTTTAATGAAATGCGCGCACGCAAAAATCATGACTCGCCGCGAAAATGAATTTGAATTAAAACAAGACCCTTTGCACACGTTTTGTTTCGGTGGCAAATGCCGCGACAAGGAGGATTATGAATGTACGATTCGAAAGGGGTGCGAGTGAGTCAGACTTGTTGGGGAGTTTTTACTGCATTAAGTGGCGGAGTGAAAGTACTTGTGTGTCTCCACCCTCGCCCTTACGCCTGTTGAGCAAGAAATTTATATTCTGTTCTTTCTTTAATTCTCTGCAAAACAACATTTATTTTTTAAACGATAAAAAAATTAATCTGCCAGATAATAAATAAATTTTTCGTGTACATTTTCCGGCTCATCTAAGAGGAAATAAAAGCAGATTACGCACCGGCTGATTTTTCGGCCTGTAATCAAAATCACAATTGAATGAGTAAGCTGTGTATTGTTTTTGCCAATAATCCGGCCCGATGGTCAATAAAAAATCCTCCCCACAAAAGGCAGCGGGGGAAAATAACTGACTGCTATTTCTCTCTGATAAATGCCCCAAAGTATTTTCTGCACGGCGAAATCGACTGCGAGGGTGAATTTTTTTTTATTTTTTTTTCCATATAAATATCCACGCACGCTCCGATTGAAACAACACGTGTATATTTACAACATTTTTATTGTTCGCGAAGAGCAGGGGGTTGAAAAAAATATTAAATAAACGAGATGGACGACGATCAATATATTTGCATGCGAAAATCCCCCCCTTTGATCCTGCATGGTTTTTTTGCATTTTTGCTTTTTTGATTAACAAGTAGATTGAAAAAGAAGGACGTGGAGACTGCCAGATAGAACTAACGCTTGTCGAGAGTAGTTGCACGCTTAAGTTTACTAACACTCTGCGGCTCTAATCCGCAGTAACTCTCTGCTATGCCACAGCTCCAGACCGGGTCGGCCGCCGAAACGCGCCTCTGTCGGACTGTCGATCGCCGCCAGCCAGATGGGACATCACGCCCTCAAGAAGCACAGACTCGAGAATGGCTCCGACTACTCGTACGAAAACGGACACCTCGGCGCTGATTGTGAGTACAAAATTTTTCCCTCAAATATTTATTATTTAAATTAAAATGAAGGCACAGAAATAATTTTAAAATGAAAATTCATCTCTTATTTTCATTATGAAATTTAGAAAATTTAGTTTTTACTTAAAGTCTATAGAACAAATCATGAATCAAAGGCTAAAAATTGACACCCCTGCTTATTGGTTTGAAAAAGAAATACAAATTTTAACTGAAACTCTAGGTTTACATAAATCCAAACGGAGAGCGAGAGACTTTGTAACCGCAGCTTCTGTTTAGAACAAAAAGCAAAGTAAATTGCCTGGACGAAAAGGAGCCGCCGAAAGGACTTTGCAAAAAAGCACCGAGGAGGTTTTGTGTCAAACGATTTGGCAAACCACAAAAGCGAGATCGAGCCGCCGATGTTTTACTCTCTTTCGTTTTGTTAGGCGCGGCAATCAGCAAATTCACACACGCCACACACGTGCCTCTTTAATTATTCAACCCACTCCTGATAATTGCTATCGGTCAAAATTCACGCCCGTCAGTAGAGTGTGTGTAAAAGTTTTTGGTCCGACCGCTTTACGTGTGAATTTTTTTCCACCAGTCCCACGACGATTGCGTTTCTCTCGTCGGCGAGTTCGCTGGTCAGCGATTTTTAGCGAGTCTCTTTGCGCTGTCAGGCGACGGTGACAGCTGCTTTAAAATTCCACAAAACACTCCATCTGATTAGTAATTTTATTCCACTTTATTCGCTTGAATGGAGCTGAAAGTATTGTGCGTGATGAAACATTATTTTTCGTAGCTGCTATGGCTGGAAAGCGGCTCGATTGGACGCGAAACCAGTTTGCAATCGACTTTTTGAGGGCAGGTACACAATGGTAGACGCTTGTGTGTGCGCGCTTGTGTATTGTCAGCAGCGTCTATCGCACCCAAACAGTAATTATTGTACAAATGATAGCAACAATCAAACACACTTCTTCTTTCACATCCAGAAACGGGGAGGCCGCCGAGTTGAAAAGGAAAGGGGTTATGCTCATCAAAAATTAAATGGCAAACATATTCGCCGGCAGTCGATTTTTCTCAACCCTTCCCTCACCTGACAAGTCACTATCGCCATACAATGGGGTGAAGTTATTATTGATGCATAACGGAAAGAGAAGAAATGTATAACATTTAATTTTTTCACCGCATGTACAGCGAACGAAGCAAGTCGTAAAAAAATTGAATGGATATAATTAAGGAGATATTGTGGCTAAAAAATCAGTCTAGTGAAGTTTTAGAAATAAGAGAGCACCAGAGAGCACTGTTAGAAAAACAAGCTTATTTAATTTTTTGTATAATTTCCCAAGCAAAAATTATAATTTATCTTGGTTTTAAAAAATAAAAATTTTAAATTTTTTAAATTAAATATTTGATCAAAATTATTTTGCTAAGCCTTTTAAATTACTTAAATTGAGTTCAAAGCAAATGTACAATCTCCATAATTCAATCAGCTCCTCTCAAAATCCGCAACTCTTTCAGCTTTTAAATAAACCCCCTCTTTTTATTGGAGCAATTTCGACCCTTGACCCTCGACATTTGTATCGGATGCGAGAGGACACGCACTCTCCTTTCGATGAGTTTACGATCGACCGGCTTTTGAGTCATTTTAAGTGTACTTTCGTGTCCGGGACGATTTTTCTCTCTTTTACAACCACACTCTCGGCGCGTGCATCAATTGGTGCGGCGGCGCCGCGCAGTAAAAACTGCATCAGACTGAATTATGCTGTATTATACACCTTCGCTGTAGGTATATTTCCTTATCAGCGCTGACAATGTGCACATGTGCTGTTTTTATAAATAAATTCACTGACAAAGAAACCTCTGTCTCTGCACAAGCAGCTTCAAACACCACAGATTACATACTAAAGGAGGCAGCTTGTGTTGTGTAAATCTGTGTTTTATTATCTCTGGCGAGAGAAGAGAATGGAAAAATGTTGTATATACACAATGAATTTTAGAGCTTTTTTATTTCGAAATATTATTTTAATCTTTAATCCCGTAATATTGATGATTAAGCAAGGGGTATTTCCAGATTGAAATGTAACAGCTTGGCAACAAAGGAAGGTACAAGAGGCTCTTTAGAAATGATTTCGGAGCTTTCGTATATACAAGAAAATATTACAACCCTTTGGTATTAGCAGTGCTTGTTCATTCATTTCAAAGAGAGGGAGAGGCAAAGAAAGGGGTTGTTTTTGTTATTAATTAATTAATTATCGCAGACACAATAAGAGGCGGCGCGCGTGTAATCTTTTGTACCAATCTCGGGGTATGCAATTGAAACCGGCACAAGGCTGAATTAGCAGAAAATCCGGCCCTTTCGGTGTCATTACATTAGAATATTCGCCGGCAAGAGCCAGGGGCTGCCGAAAGTGCTTTGGTCAGCAAATGAATTAAAAGCCAAAGGGGTCCGAAGTGGCTCGCAACCCTCGAAATAAGCGTTTTATTAGCAACCGAAATTCCACTATATAATTTTGTGTCTGGAAAATTAACGATGAAAGACAAAAGACCTACTTGTTGTTTGTAAAAACAAAAAGAGGATGTTTCGCCTGAAATCGAGAGTCCTTTTCCCATCCGGTATTATATAGAATGCAGGGGAGGAGTGAGTCAGTTAATTGCCGCTCGACGAGACTTATTCAGATTACATACACTCGCGAGCGAGCGAGCGGCTGTTTGTTTGTAACACGAGCAAGCACCAAAAGCGCGACGCCAAAGGGTGGAAATAAAAAGGCCATTTTTCACCAGCCTTTTAATTGAGCCGTGTTAACAATGGGAAAATTTCACTCAATTCGACCCCTCTCTGGTTATTTTTTTTCTGACAAATTGACTGCTGCCAGCGGTTGAATGTCCCACGTCATTAATATTTGCGATTTTTTTTTGTAACGCGGAATCACTTTGGAAAATATAATTCGAGTGTAATTCGAGCTGAAATCGTTTTCGCATGCAAATTATGGATCCCTCGGGTTGGCTGCACTGGGGTTGGTTGAAAAAGATGATACGTTGCGACTGACGCCCTTGCTAGCTTTTATTATACGAAAAGGAAATCTAATAAAATGGGGCAAAACTGTTTCGGTAATGGAAAGACATCAACTCGAATAAAAATTTCGCACAACCCCCTCGCTCTCGCAACGAGTGCATCAAATTGTAGATAATATCCAATAAAATAAATGGACCTGCGGGGCGGAATCACAATTTGTATTTGACAACGCGTTTTATTGGATTCGGCGTGCTCCGACGGATCGAATCCCATTTTCTGCGTGTTTGTATTAATAATTTTTATGAGCGAGTGCGTGCGAATTTAATTTCGAATCCCTCTCCAGCAGACTGTTAAAAAATATATAAAAGAGAGGACAGACGAGATTTTGAAATATAAAAGTCTCTCCGACATAAAGCGTATAGAAGGTGATGAATACATAAATCTCCCGACGATGCTGGCGATGAAAAAGATTTTGCGCCAGAGAGGATAAATAATAATATGCAAAATAATAATTCCGTCTGACTTGTTGTTACTCTGAAAACCGGTCTATCTGACAAAATACAGCTGATTTGACAGCCACTCGAGCGGAAAAGGCTCTTGGGAAGAGAGAAATAAAATTAAAATAAAAATCACCTCCACCTCATGAAGTAAAAAGACAAAATCAGTTGCTCATGCACGCTTAATGCTCAAATGTTGTTTGCTGAAAGATTAAGAATGCTTTTGGATTTTTCAGATTTTTTATTGTGTCTGCCAAACACATTTACAAGTCAGAAATAAGAGAATCAATTATCGCACCGTTCAATTCAAAGCAAGAACAATAAAATTATACAATCGTACACTGCCTTGTTTGCTCTGCTCATCGAAATGATTGGAAGAGGTCGTAAATCTGCTGGCATGAAGCATTTAGGGCTCTATAGAGATAGAGATAAAAAAAGTTGGAAATAAATATAATTAATTGTTGGTAAAAAAAATTGGCTAACAGAGTCGTTAAAATTTGCGGAAGAGCCAAATTAATACAAAAGTAAGATGTAGCAAAAAAAAACTAAAAAGGGGTTATTAGATGGGATATTAATTGATTTTGCACATGCTCACTGCCGCATATTAATCCAATTTATTATTTTTTTTCTTCTATATCTATAAACATCGGTCGGAGAAACAAAATAAGCAGCCGTCGAGCAGCAATAATGAAATAAATCTATCGGGAGGAAACCGCGGCTGAAAATGGTCAAGTCACACCTGCTGCGCCTCCGCACTCGCACACGTCAGAATAATTCATAATCCATTAGCTCGAATTAATATTTAACATGCCGGATAATTACTGGGTTTTACAAAAGCAGTGACACAAAGGTGCATGGGTTGGTTTTTTGATTTGGGGGCGTTCCGGAATTCTAAGTGCTGCTTTGTGGCGGGCACGCGTGTCAAATAGAATGTGGCAATGCTCTTATGGAAAAAAGCGACTCGTCATTCTCACTTGAGTGTGCATTATATATTATACAATTCCAATTTATTTCGATTTCATCAACTGCCATTTATCGAAATCAAAAGAGCCGCTTATGACTTTTGTGCTCTGATGGTAATATTAAATTATACATTTGCTATCCCCAGCTCATTTTCACTGCAGAGGCAAAAGCGTTGTTCTGACAACAAATATCTAAATCTATTTTTATAAAAAAAAATTAAAGTTAGATTTAAATTGCTTTTTCTACAAAAATAAATTAAATTTTAATATTGTATTGTTTTTTAATTCTGAAACTTCTTTTCACTCATTTCAAAAATATTTCATTTTTTTTTTTTTAATATCTGCATTCAAATACAAACCAGAGTTTCAAGTTTATTTCATCTTGGATCAAAGACGGAAAATTAATAAAATAAATTCCTCTTGCATATATTTAAAGCATTTGATTTCTACCAAAGTGCTCAGTTCGTATTATGCGCATCAGGAATTCCTCCTATTCGCATATGTGATTTCTATATATGTACACAGGAGAAGCGCAGTGCAATGAGTCACAACGAATCATGTCAAAATTAATATCATAACTGGCCGCGGGCAGAAAAACGGAGCACTCGCTGCATGTGTGTGGCTCGCACAGATAAAAAATAAATAAATAGACTCTCGGCTGTATGTATTTATTAAAAAAGAAAATGCAACTGTGTGTTCCCCTAGCTGGCGAGCGAGGAGAGGGCTTTTTCATTACGTCTATCAACTGGCTCTCTTTCTCTGCTCTTATGTACTTTTGAATTGCATTGTCGGTAATCTCGACAACAAACAATGGCGAGACGCATGGATAGATAAAAATGATTCGCATCACTCATATTTGTTTGGCAATGCGTTATGAGAGCCTCTTCGCCAAGCATTATATAATAATTTCGTGTGTGTGTACCGCGGGCTCTGCAACAATGGCAGGAGAGACACACATTCGCATTCAGCCAGGCAATAGTACATCTGTAACATGAAAAGATACACTTTCCGAAAGAGAGAGAACGCTTTTTTGCATTGTGCGCTCAGCACACACAGACACACACCATCCAGTCGATGCTGGTTTGTCTAATGATATAAGTGGATGCATAATGTAAAAAATAAAACTCAGAAATGTGTAACAGATGGTGATTCATACAGTCAGAAAGAGCTCATAGGAAGTGATGAGAAAGTAAATAATTTATTTTTATGTTGATTTGAATTTAAAATCGGTTATATTCCTTGATGGGTTTTAAAAATAAAATCACCACAAATCAACCCTCCAACGTGAAATAATCTACCACAAAATTTAATTTGAATTCCATGTCCAAATTTTGCATCATCAGAATATTATGTTTGTTTTTTTTTATTCTTTATCATACATTTTACTCAATTTTAAAATTTTTATTAAATTATAATTGTGAAGAGTAAACAGATATATCAGTAATAATATTATTATATTTTGTTTCTTTTATTTAATACATAAATTACTTAAAAAATTGCAACCGTCTACATTGGAAATTATTTACTTTAATCTTATATAGTGGTAAAAATTAAATATGATAAATCACAGAAGCTGCATTGCATTCAAACATTTAATTTTCAAAGAATAGATAATACTAGTTAGTGTAGTTTAGCTTCTACTTTAAAAAGTTTAATTTCATAATAAAAAGATCATACTAAATCCCTAAAAAATTAACAGTTTTATGATCTCTGGATTCCAATAAATCAATTTCTTGTTAAAAATATTACATTAAAAAATTTTAAAATCTTAATCACATAAATATATAAAATACTATTGTTTTTTAAATCTAAATTTTATTGTAAATGTAATGAACTGTTAAAAATTGTTATTAAAACAAAATGGTAGTCATTTAATTATTGTAATATCGTTGTCTATTTCTCCAAATTGTTGTTTTCTGAATTTTATTTGTAAAGGGATCTCGCCCTAATTGTTGTCTCCAAAGTTTCCCTGCCATTGAGCCCCTATGGTCTTCAAACATATTTCCTGCACACGGGAATTCCCTTGCGACAAATTTCACGAGTGAACTTTGGGCGTAAAAGTGGTTCAAACTAATTCAAGAAGCTCCACTTTGCGGAGCGTGGTGCGGTCGGCGTGCGTTTCTGTGGCTCCTCTCGACCGCCTCCGACCCCTTACCTGGCGCCAGGTGAGTCGGTAGTATTAATATGAATTATGGTACCTCTATTTTTAATACGCGGCCGAGTGCGTGCGTGAATGTGTGTGTGTTGCGGTCTGTGGTCAACACACTCAGCATCCATCCGCCGGTCTATTTCATTAACTGCCGCTAATCTCTTTCTCTCTGCTCGCGCGCGCGCCCCCGTCTCGCTTGCAGGAAACGAGATTAATAACATTCGTTTTCCATTTCGATTCCGTCGGTGGGTGTGAAGTGGAAAAAAAATCGAGAAACACCTCGAATGTTATTACAGATGTCTTATCTGCTATTAATATCAGGTGAGCGCGCGAGTGGAAAGCCGGTTTCGAGACTAACTGATGGATAGATTGATGGCGCCTATTTATTTTTCTCGGTTTTCTAATTGCATTTTTCCAACGCGGTTCGTCGACAGCTGCCTGAAAAATATTTGTAAAAGCTATGCACAATCGGATGACACGAGAAAATTGAAAAAGCAGCGGAGATAAATAATTAATTGTGAACTGCCCAGAGGAGCAAATTAGTTTCTGCTCTCATCTGTAGGTTGGGTACAAAAAAAGTGAGGGTCCGTTATTTTTTTCCTCTACTAATTTATTTTAAAACTTTTTATTGTAAATTTGTGAAGTTTTTCAATATATTTAAAAAAAAAACATATTGTCAATGCAATTTGAATCCAGATGCATCCACTTAGGAGTTTTATTATTTTTTCCTGCTATTTAATTTTAAGACCTTCCGCATTTAATGCGGTGATCTCATTTTAATTCGCCTCCTGATATCCCCTACTCTCCGTACTGAGGACATTATTTATTTTTCCGAACTGCAGCATCCCGGCGAGCAAGTGCCGCCGCCGCGCGCTATTTAATTCAGAGAAAACAAGAGTGGAGTGTTTTAAAATAATGAGGTGTCAGTCTGACTTTTATCGGGTGGCTGCATCTGAATAAGCATCTCTCTCTCTCTCTCTCGCTCTCGCAGTCACAACAAGCTGCTGTAACATGCATTAAGCCCTGCTGCCCGACCGGCTAGAGTCGTTTTATTTTATATTAATTGCACTCGCGGCCATTTATTTTCCCTCCATGTATAAATTCGTGCCATAAGCCACGCGGTGAGCAAAAAAATTACTAATATCGTGCCACGCAGAGAGAGACAGCTGCTGTGCGCGGCTCGGCGGGGTGAGTTTTGCAAAAACACAACAAGTCCATTTCGCTTTTATGCGGTGCTAATTGACACACTGGCCGCATGTTTCGATGATGATGGAACACGCACTTTTTGATTTGACACACTCTTTCTGTCATTTTCGCATCAGAAAATTATAGAGGACATTGTTAGGACTTAGGATTCAAAATTTTATTATTAAAATTAATCAGATTTTAGGTAAAAAAAAAAAAAATAGCTTCTGGCATCTGATAAAATAATTTTTATGTAATATTAGGCTTGTGAATTAAATAGATAATTAGAACTTAGGATCAATTGATTTTGCGATTTTTATTTCAAAATTTATATAAATAGCACAGGAGATGCCTGAGTAACGTAAGTTTATTTATAATATTAACTTTAAATATCATTCATCTAAAGAAAAATTTATTTATTAATAAACTATCTGTAATTTTTAATAAATATTTCAGTTTTATAACTGCAAGTTCATTGCAAAATATATGCGATATATGCATTCAAACGTAAATAAATTATAATAAAAAATAAAATTAATAAAGTAAATTATATCAAATTAAATAAATTTAGTCAATGATCTAAATAATTCTAAACAATACTTTGAAAAATAATTATATTTTATTATGCAACATATATTTTTTATCTTATCTTTTGTTTAGCAATCAATCACCCTGCATCTCTCCCAGATGCAAAGTAGCAGCAAACCTGCCCTATCTAGATTTGCGCGTGGCGCTTCATTAGAACCGAAATTAACTCCCTGCGTCGGAATGACCAGCGGGGCCAAAGAGAATTATAAACGACCTTTTGACTGGTGCGGTGCATTATTTGGCAGCAAAAGCTGTGCCCGCGCGTATAAGTCGGGCGATTAGTCTTTGCCTCGGAAATTCGGCTAGTCAATTAATCAAACCACCAGCGCGGGATTATGTAAACTATATAATACACACGCACCCCCGAGAGTGAATTTATTTACAAATTTGCACTGCCACGTCTGTGCGCGTGCATTTGTATCAAAGATTCGCTCTCTTGATCTCTCTCGCCGCTCCGCTGACATTATTATAAATTATGGCGCGCGCGCGCCTGTCTCCTGCTTTCCGGAATCTTTTTATCTCTGTTTATGCAGCCAGGGGTCGTGCAAACGAGATTAATCATTCCGTTCATTAATTTCAATCCGTGATTAAGTTAGACACAGTGGGACTTAATAAAACCGTACCGGGACCTCTGCGAGTTTGGATGCAATTAGCTGCTAAACGTCACCTGCAGGGATGTCAAAATTCAGCCCTTGACTAAATTAATTTTTTTCTTATATAAAAAAAAAACGAATTTAATGTTAATTAGAGATGAAACAATATTTTATCACCGAATTTAATTATTATTAAATGATAAATTTCCCAGCTGCCTTTGCTTGGAATTCCCTTAAAATTTTTTTTTTATATTTTCCCTACATCATGGGAAATTTTTCATCATAAATTGTGTTTCCAGAAGACCTTTATTTTAATATTTTCATTCTTTTAAATATTTTTGAATATGTTGATAAATTTATTCATTGACGCTAAATTGACCATTCAGATTTTTTTACAGACCCGTCAAGACTGGAAAAGTCGCCCCTGCTGGCCAACGGCTACAACCACCCGCCCACCCACCTCAACCCCATGCAGTTCATGCAACTGAACCACCACCCCGCGGCCGCACACACGGCCATCCTGTCGCCGGCGGGCATCCCGCTGCCCTCCAGTCACGGACTCTCCAGAGCCGACGGCTCCATCATCAAAAACCAGCCCAGTGGAATCCCAGGCATCGACGCCATCGCCAGGTGAGAGAATCTATTTATTTAATTAATATTACAAGAAATTCATAAAAACAGAAGAAAAAAAATCAAAATTCCACTGCTGACCTAAGGTTTTTGCTTTAATGTTGTAATTTTTAATTTTGTTTATATTTTGAATTTTTTTTCATGCTATGTACATAAATTACTCCTTTATGAATTATGAAAAATAGGCGAAATCAAAATATATTCAATGAGAACACTTTTGTTTTAAAACTTGTTTTAATATTTTTACATAATATTAAAACGCAAATCTGTAATCATCTGAAATCACATGGAATATTTTATAAAATATTGATAGCCTTTTGAGAAATATTATAGGGAAATGCATAAAAGTATTATTTAAGGGTTGTCTTGAAAATATATTCAATTAATTTATAGATGAAAAGTTTTAACAGCCATCATAATTTAATTCTATTAAACTTGGAATCCATAAGAAAAATTATTACAAATCGGCAGAGCTGCATTTTTCCCCTTTCGCGTTTGAAAATATATATATATTTTATATTATTTATTTAGAAAAGCCACTAACAATAAAAGCCGTTTCTTCAACTCGTACAAATGCAGCGGCGATAATGCGCTCAGCAAGTTTCTATAATGTTTTTGCTGCTGCTTGAAACCTTAAAGAAATCACAATCGCAGCTAATTACAGTAAATCCGTGTTGCTTCGCTGAGAAGATGTAATGCGAAGCCATATTATCGCGGACACCACTTTCAGTCGGATGATTATTTCAGCAATTTCGTCGTTTTACGAGCAAGAGCACTTCTCTCTCGTTCCCTCGATCGATTTCAATTAATTCGACATCACTTCGCGCAGTTAATGTGCCGATTATTGCGCGGCCAATTTAAATGCAAAGCAGCCCCGACAGCATCAATATCAATCTATCCGCGAGTGTTATTATATTCCACAACTGCAGTTATAAATTTGCATTTACCGCCACAACACGTTGCCGATCTTGGGCCGTTAAACTCGGTTGACAAACGCTCTCCTAATCGTCATAAAAGTGCGCAATTGCATTTGCATAGTGCAAGGTAATTACGCCTGCTGTGCGGATAGGATCATGCATCCGATTTTACGAGCCGATCTTTAATTGATTCGCCATTACTCACGGCCGGTAATTAATTTACTGCCGAGCTGCGTGAGACCCTCGTTAAATATCGACAGACGCGTCCATAAACGGGCAAACTATTCAAAAGTGATAGTGTACATAGCACATAAAACTTTTTGACCTTCGCAAGTGGGGAAAGAATTACAATTTGCTGATCTTTCACCTCTGATCTGGGCAGGTGTTTTAAGTGTTTGCAGTTTTTCTTTACTTCTAATATGTTTAAAAAATTCTTAAAGTTCTTAAATCAATTTTAATTTTTAAAAATTTTTCATTCATTTTGTATCTTTTGATATTTTTAAACAATAATTTAAATAAAATTTGAACCTGCACATTACCTAAATCTTTCTTTAATTTTTCAACAATTAAAAAAAATGGCAATTTTAAAAAATTGTCTGACAAATTTCCAAGATTGTATTATGCCAATTTTTTCAAAAGTGCAAAATAAAATTCAACAATTGTATGCTTTCCTTTAGAAAATTAAATAAAATAAAATGATGTGTTAAATTCTTAAGATTTTTCCAGCTCATATTTATAATACGAAACAGAGAAGTCTTTACCAAATATGAACAAGCAAATTCTCTCACGCACTAGATAAATGTGTAATTATACGTACGCCCCCTTTTGGGAGCATTGTCAGAACTTTTGTTTACTCTGAAAACACTCAAATTCTGGAACTCGGGACCAAGAATATGTGCATTTGAATAATTGAGCACACAATTAAATCCTTAGGTGGTAGTATTTTGAGGGAACAGAATATTGTTGTGCAGTCGGCGTCTTGAGCTTGGTCCGCCGTGAATTAATGATCCGCGGGGCCCCTTGATGTGCACCTGCATTAAACATAATTTGCATGCAACAGGCCTCTTTGAAGACGGGGCGGGCGCGGCGTGCAGATCTAATATTTATAATCCTTCTTATGAAAGATTTGCATTTTAATTAAAAGCGAGAGAGTGCGATGAAAGTGTGAAATAATTATAACGAAACTGAAAACGCAGGTTTTAGGCAAAAGCAGCGGCGGCAGCACAACCACAGCATTTAAGTAACTCAAAATTGTGTTTTTTGATTGGCAGGTCTGGCATTTGGGAAAACTGCCGCGCTGCTTACGAGGACATAGTCAAGCATCTAGAAAGGTACGTTTATTTTTCATTCTTTTTCTTTTAAGTTGAAGGCGCAGATGCTGCAAATGAAATCGACTATGACAAATCACAAGCTGGAGAATTATTGTTGATTTCAAGGATTCGCGTCGCGTCCTTTTGAAGTCGTCGGCTCGTTACGAAAAATAATATAATTTTTCCCATTTCGTGTGACTTTTCTTTTTGCCGTCTCTAATGTAATATCCTTTTCGTCGTCACACTCGATTGTCGCGCAGTGCTTCATGGTGGTCGCATTTCGTGGGTGATTTTATGGATTATTAATTTAAAACTACGAGACAGCGCGAGGCGAAACTTTTGATTGATTGGGCGGCCGTGCGAAAGCGGACGAAAAGTGAACAAGGTGGAGAGCAAAAACTCCAAGCGGGACGATGAATTATTAATTATTACGCCCTTTAAAGGGATCGCGTGCATTTGCAAAACGCCGCGGCCTCATCATTCACTCTCTCGGTGAGAAGAGTGACTGTGTGTGTTTGACCAAAACTCACTCGCCTGGCGAATCAATCAGTTGAATGCTATTAATTTTTAGACGCACGCCGACAGACAGTCCTAGTGCTTTGCAGATCGTGAGAATCGGCTTAAGATGCTGTGTTTTTTTTTCCGACGATGATTTCACCATTGATGACTATCAGACAACTCAAGAAGGAAAAAGAAAAAGACCATAGTTGCTCAATATAATTATTTTTGTTTCTCAATTTATTTATTACTTTTTTTCTTCTTTATTGTTCATATTTTCTTCATTTTAGAGTCATATTATCTCTTGATTTTTAATTATAATTTATAATTCCAAATGAACAAAAATCTACACAAAAACTAGTGTTTCCGACTGATATCTTTATCTAAAATTAATATTGATTGAGTCTAAGTTGATTGTGGACGTATTATTTGAATTTATTTTGTTATTAAGATTTTTTAAGGAGTCATGAGTCATCAATATCAAATTATTTAAAGATATTTTCAAGCCATGCAGATAAGCAATTTAATTTTTTTACAAATTATAAATAATATATTCTTGTAAACAGTTTAAAAGTAAATAAAAACTAATTGAAAAAGAGGTATTTAAATAAAATAATAACTACAATATTTGTTAAAAAAATTTAAACTACCTCTTTTTTAAATCAAAATTTCACTTCCTATTTTTGACGTGCATTTTTATCAGCAAGCGTCGTCGTGCGGTTCTAGAGTCATTTTTTAAGAGAAGCGAGGGGCAGTTTTATTAATGATTGAGACTTGATGACAAGTTGCCATTCGTGGGGTGAATTCTGATGAGCTACGAGCTGTGTGCGGCGTTATCTCATCTGCGATGGCCGGCGCGCGATCCCCTTGGCGAGCAGCAGATATCAAAAACTTGCGAGGCAGTTAAATACTCCTTATTGACACGCCGGGCGAATATTAATCATTAAAAAGAGAGCGGACGGCCCTGCTTTTCGCACCCGCGCGCGCTGCTGCTGCGACAAATCGATCGCGCACAACACCACCACTTGAGGACACTTTGCACCTTACACGTGATAAATGGTTCGCCGCAGCAAAACGCTTCTTTTTCCGCCAACGCTTCACGCCGACCAATGAGAAAGGCAATTTTTAAGAGGGGAACCCTTTCGATCGATCAATAATTTGAAAATTTGTGTCTCATTCTCTACTCGAGTTTCTATTTTTGTTTGAAAATTAAATCAAATTTTGTTTCGAATTAAAAATGGATACCCCTCTTTCATAAATAGTTAAATACATCTAAAATCACCTTCATTACCAAAACAATTTTTTTATTCTGGTTTTCGTCAATGAGGTTTTTTGTAGAAAAAAATATCTGTCTGCCATATTTCATGAGCTGCACATAATTTTAATAAAAATTATTGCATTTATTAATTTTATAAGATTTTTTTTCACTCAGTTGAGGCAGGAGTGGAATTAAAATGAGACGAGGTGCAGCCTGGCGGCTCTCTCGTGACGGATTCGGCATGTGCAAAAAGTGTTGATATTTATGCTGGCGTGAAGTGGCTGTTGGTTGGTGCGCTCAAACAGAAAGCAGCCGAGCATAATTTTAGTGGTGCGTCAGTGCACGTTGGAAACCGCGCCGCCCGAGAATTTATAAAAGCAAGTGATATAAGACGTTCATAAAAGCATGCGAGCATCCGGAGTTTGTTATGACTTACGGATCATATCATTCGACACTTGCGATTCGTTTTTAAATATCGTCGTCTGCACTTGGTCAATTCAACAAACAGCGGCACGCAACCAGAGGCATGTGCATATCGGGCTGGCCGGCGCAGAGAAAAAGGAGCAGCAACGTCTGCTCCGCGCCACGTCGTCAAATTATATGCAGAAGAAAAAATATGAGTAATTTTAATTAAACGCTGTCCAATGGCCAATAATGTTACAAAAAAATTTTAAAAATAAAACCAATTTACGTATTTATTTAAATTATCGATTTATAAATTACTTTTATTTCTTATTTTAATAATTTTTGTGATAAGTAAGCTCTTTTGTTACTTAATTTCCTTAATTCTATCAATATTTTAAACTACTAATCTTTGTTATGCTAGTTTTTATTTTTAATTTTTATAAAATATTTACTGTTAATAACAAGCAGAATTCAAGTTAAATAAACGAAAATAAAATCTGTGGCTGAGGCAGTCGTGGTAGAAATTTTGCAATTAATTAATTGAAATTTATTCATTGATTGTTTAGACCATAACATAGCTGATGAATGCAATCTATTAACTGGTCAATTTTAACTAATCCACTCAGAGTGATTGTCGGTTTTTATTCGCTTGGATAACTCTGAGTCGGGCTTAATTCACGGTAACAAATGTCCCAGATTAAGGGGCGTGTGTTTCGGATTTCAGTGGCTGCAACTCCCTTGCGCTCTGTGTTTTGGAATGAGAATTTTCACAGGGGTGCCTTTTGCTGTTTAATGCTAATGAAATTGTACGACTGTCGAGCAGATTAGCTTGTCAAGAAAGAGCGCCTGCAAAAAAAAAAGCGAAACACTCTCGCTCAGAGTGTAAAAATATTTTTTTCCTCTCTCATTCCATTTCGTTTGAGTGACAGTTAATAATACGAAAAGGGAAAAATTCCCGAGCAGCGACACACGTTTAATTCCAACTTCATACAGACATACTTTTTCGTCAGAAATGCTGTGAATGTTCATTTCAGATGCAGGGAATTTTCTTATTACTCGCTGGCAGGAGTGTTGAAGAAGGAGTGAATTCCTTTTTCTGTCACTCGAGAAAATGGGCCAGCAGTTTCAAGTCGCGATTTCTTAAATGTTTATTTGTTTAAGAAAGGAGATTAAGTTTGTTTTTGTTGGGAACCCCTGGCGATTCAAAATGAAGCTGCGCGGCGTTTTGATTAAAAGCAGCCGCATTCCTGTTCTGCTCTCTCGCCGAAAATAAAGCGTAATTAAGGACATTGAATAAAAAGAGAGCTGGATGCGAAGTTATTAAAATGTACCATTAATCATTCGCTCTCGGCCTTACTTACGGTATTATTTTTCGTCACTTGTCACATCCGCCCAGCGGCGGCAGAGAATCCTGGAGCGAAATAGCCCCGTCATCCATCATAACCGGCGGCGGTGGTGGCGGAAAATTGTAAAAAACAAAACTCAGGCATTCGTATGGCTAATAATGAGAGGGTGGATGGATGTATTTTAGACAAACGAGGTGCTGCGGATGACACCGCAAAGCCCGAAAAAAGAGCGACACAAGACGCGGCGCATTATTAAATTTGAGATGGCAGCGAACGCGTGGGCTCAGATGTGTGGCGAAAATATGTATTTTCGGGAGAGAATCGACTGCCGCGGCTGAGGCTAATAATAAAAGGAGAGAAAGAGATGCTGGGGAGAGCACGTGCAAGGCGGGCATCATCTGCTCTCATTAAATATTTAAAATCATTATCACTTGGCTAACAGCATTTTTATATCCTTAAATGCATTTTGTAGGCGAGAGAGAAAGAAGCCTAGCGAAAAATAGCTCTCTTGTGAGAGAATTAGAAAAGACTGCCAGCTATTAAAGTTTCGATGAAAGATAATAGGGCGCTAATGTTCGCTGTTTTACGACTTGTGAGGACAGTTTAAATTAAATTTAATTAAATAATCTAATTAAATTTCTTTTAAGATGCATAACAATATAATATAATGATGGTGAATAATTTTTTTAATCGTTCAAACTTAAAAGTTATTTATAATTTAATCAAATTTCACATTTCTTCTTTAGTAAAAAGTAGAGAAAAGAAAATTCAATTCTTTGAATCAAATGTATTATAGTCCAATGAAGTGATTATTATTTATCAGATTAATAAATTAATTTAGAGTTACACAATCCCGAAAAAATTAATTATTTGACTTGATCATGAAACAAGAATGAACATTAAAAATACTAAATTATAAATAAAATAAAATATTGAATTCATTTTGCTTTAAAGAAGCAAATGAAATTAACTGTGAAATTTTATTTTAGAATTATATATCTTTATTAATGCTAACTGTGTTAAATGTATATTTTTATTTTGCATTTCTCACCTTTCTTTAGGCTTATGCAACCCTCTGATCATGCTTGCCAGCCACTCATTGTTGCCTACTTTTCCTTTTTTTTTTATAAATCAAACTCTTCCAGCCAGTCAGTTTCTCTGAATTTCAATCACGATTCTGGCGCCAGTCGCGATGCGATCGGAAACAAATCAAACGTCGATTCGAATCATCAACGCGGTCGGCGAAAAGGTCGCCGATTGTCGACGAGCGCGATGAAAAGCCATTAGGCGGTGAGACAAAGAAAAGTGCTGATTAATTTTCCCAGGCTGGCGCCACAAATGAATTCATCTCCGACACGTCGAGTGCACGTCACACGGTCTAACATTTGGAAACATATTTTACACAGACGCTTAATGTATTCAAGAAGAACGGGCCGCGCAATAAAAAAGCAGCGGCACTAAATGGACCATTATTGCATCGCGCCGGGCGCATATAAAAGTCGTCAACAGGCAGG